AATGGGATTATGTAGGAACACCAACTGTTCGGGTTGTACTGGTTTTCCGGCCGCGTTCTTGTCATAATACTCCTTCTGGTGTCTGTGTGACCTCGTTAAACAGTCCCGCGCCAGTCAGTGCTTTGGATGCGCTCGTTGTTTAATGTTCCGTGCGTATTCAGTTGATAGAAGGGTGTCTGTTGTGAGGAACGGCATGAAAATATCGGATAGAAGTCGTACTTCGCGCCCGGTTAACATCGCATTTGATTTGTGTCTGATCGGCAAATGAACCGCAGCTCGGTATGCCAATAGGCAAGACGTGAGGGCCAAATCCCGTTCTCGAGTGATGCATTCGTTGGTAAATGCCTTCAGTAATCCTTTTAGAGACCGGTTGGTTCGTTTGGTTTGCCCATTTGCTTGCGGGTGGTAGGCCGTGGTGTTTGTCTTCTGGATTCCGCAGACTTGACACAATTTTGCGACTACCTGGTTCACGAAGCTGGACCCTCGATCTGAATGCAACTGGATGGGTGCACCCCAGTGTGAAGTCCAATTGTCGAATATTGCACGGACGACATCGACGGCACCTATAGACGGCATGGGTACTGCTCCGCACCATTCGGTAAAGTAATCGACGAAAACGAGAATGTACCTATTCCAGTGTTCCGTCCCTGGCAGAGATGAGATACTGATATGATCATGCTCTGCGCATGCTTCACGGGCTTCGCGAAATATACATTATTATTTTTATTATAACACACTTCTTCTTTTTGTTATCCAGATAGATAGCGAATACTTACATACAGACCCCGTTGACCCACATGAGAGTCATGGTTGTGCATCAGACAACGTTTCATCACTCGGTACTCCCTCCCGACCGCGTGAATTCCAAAGAATGCCGGACAATCAATATTTAGCAGCCTAAAATGGGTTAAATACATTAGAAATGAGAGGCATAATTACCTGGTCGCAATTGCGTCTCGCTTTCTGAAATGTACACAGCAACATTTGATGAAATAGTACAGAAAACCCTCAGGCAGAGTCACTTTCCGACCAAATTATTTTTCCCGTATCACATATTCGGCTGTCGTTGACGCACAAACGTAGAGGGAAGTGCAAGTAAAAATTTGGAATTCACGAAGGTCCTCCTAGGATCCGTCCAGCGATCCACAGCAACTTATTACCATCCGCTCAAAACGACAGCTTCTTTGGTACGAGAGTGAAAGTGATCGTCGGAATTAGGTTGCGGTATTTATAATTTCTGGACAGAGTCAATTAGGGTTAATTAAAATAAATGAAAATTTAACAAATCACTCAGAATCAGCTAAAAGCAAAATCTGTTCCATTTTGGCTGAAATCGACATTAGTATTTCTAAAATACGTTTAAAACTTGATCGTTTTTATAAATTCTAATAGTTGGGATGCCACGCCACTACCATCTCGCCGCTGTTGGGGTCACCAAAACCGGC